GGTCTTGTTGACACCCTTCTTGTAAACGCCTTCGGAAGTCCACTGGTGCCGGCTGCGATCCCCTTTTTTTGTCTTGGAAGCCCATGAGAAATTACCGATCCAAGGCCTGAGCTTGGTTCATATTTCGTCGTTACAGCACACAACTGCATTTTCGAGCAAATCACTCTACAGGCAGCTAGGTGGCGCATTTCCCACCACCACAGTTCTTTTCATAGACTTCGCACCGAAGAGGCCCATCCAACTGAAGACACAACCGCATGAATCACGAGTAGAAGAAAGCCTGTTATAAGCGCACAATATGTTCAGGCGAGCCACAAGCGGACGGCTTGGTGCTGCCCCAGTCGGAGGCGGTGCATGTTCACAAACAAATGGATCATTGCCGGAAGGTAGAGCAACACTGAAGATGAAGGCTGTTCCAGGACGAAGTATACACCCCTGGCTATTCCGAGCATTAAACCCAGAATGGTTCTCGTAGCTGTGCAGTTTCCCCGGACACATGTTTCCGAGTTGAGGTCTCCACAGGGGTTCCACTTAGATTTCTTTGTCTTCGAAGAGCACATGAAAACATGAGCACCGCATGGAGGAGCTGCTGAAATCAACCCACCACATCGTATCCGCAGGATGCTCTGTAGCATGCAGAGAAAGCCAATCCTTACATAACAGAGCAAATGGAGGGCTCTATTTTAGCAGTATTCTGCATGCCCCGAGAAGAATGCAGACAAGCATCGTTTTCTCCACATCATGGTCGGGGTTGATCCGCTCGTTATCAAATCTCGAAGATCTGAAGCCCCTGCGGCCTTCAGTGTTCTAACAGAGCTATATGGCTACATATACTACCATTAAAGTTTGCACAAATTATGCAAGCATGGTTCTAGCTAGGTGCAATCGAAACACGGAAGGCACGGTGAATCCCTCCCCAGCCACAGAAGAGGTCCAAGACATCAAGCTCCTCATTTCATATGCACATTTAAATTTGGTATAATAATAGTATACAGCCACATTGCTAAACCCTAAAGCCTAAACCTTAAACCCCAAAACCCAAACCCCTAAACCCCTAAACCAATTGGATCCCAGAGGCAAACCCGAACTTTCAAGCCCTCGGAGCCCCCTCTAGAAGATGACCTTGAACCCGGATCATGTGTATGCTGTGCATGTGCCTCGATGGCAATGCAATATTCGGTGGATTCAGTTGTTTCTACAATTTCTACGAATTTTCCTGAGATCTTCAGCCGATCCTACAAGACGATTATTCACTATATATTGCAGCAGTATTAAGTAGCAGTGCAGCAGCAGCAGCAGCAGGAGGAGTAGCAGTACCAGTAGCACTAGCAGTAACGCAGCAGCAGCAGTGCCAGCAGCAGCAGCAGTCGTAGTAGTAGCAGTAGCAGTAGCAATAGCAGTAGCAGTAGTAGTAGTAGTAGTAGTAGTAGTAGTAGTAGTAGTAGTAGTAGTAGTAACTAGTAGTAGTAGTAGTAGTAGTAGTAGTAGTAGTAGTAGTAGTAGTAGTAAGTACTAGTAGTAGTAACTAGTAGTAGTAGTAGTAGTAGTAGTAGTAGTAGTAGTAGTAGTAGTAGTAGTAGTAGTAGTAGTAGTAGTACTAGTAGTACTAGTAGTACTAGTAGTACTAGTAGTACTAGTAGTACTAGTAGTACTAGTAGTACTAGTACTAGCTAGTACTGTAGGATTACTACTACCTGCCGCGAGGCTCCTGGTTGCCGAAGTGAGCAGCGCTGCACTGCGTGATAAAGTCCAGGGCGTGGATCCTGAGCCAAGCACCGCTAAACCCTACACCCTTAAACCCTAAACCCTCAATGTAGGTCTTCGACACAGATAAATCGTAGATCCAGCCGAGCAACAAAACACCGGGAGCTCCCAAGGACAACAGAGTTACGACTTCGATACGAGAAATTGAAAGCACCATGGCGAACGTCTGCTGTCGATCTACACGGCAGCACAAAGCCAGCAGTCTTTTAAGCCCGACAACATGAAGAGCACACAGAATGAAGATGTAGCATGCATATGCCGGTCGACATTGAAGTAAATCTAGTGTCACACCTGCAAGCGATGCCCCAGCAGCTCTTCATCCTCATCATGCGAAGTTGTACCCCAACTTGAGCACATGTACATGCCGGTGTGTTTCAACACACACCCAGCTGAGCACATGCCTGCAACGACCCGACGATAGAAGCAGTATTATGTAGTCTTCTCTAATGATGAATAGACCCAAGAGAACTACCATTAATCTTCCCAGCTTGTCAAGGAACTATTACTTTGATGTTTCGGGTCTCCACGATCAGTCCTGCACTTTCTGGCCGGCTGATGCTAGGCATAAAAAGCTAGATGCACCTAATATTCCCCGCGCTTGGCTCGCTCGAACTTGGCCCTGACTTCGTCAAAAGGCATGCCAGCCTCCAAGCGCTTGGCCTTGGATTTCGAAGACCGTGCGTGATCCATGCCCTAAAACCCTAAACCCTACAAACCTATACGGGGTTGAAAGGCTCATGTATGTATCAGATGGATTCCGATCATGATCAAAGAATACAATCCCGTAAAGCTGTCAATCCGAAGACTCGATGCAATGATCTTCTAATTATATAGGTCTAGCAACTACAAATAGATAGGGGTCTCGATTAGCGGGGCCCGGGGAGGGGGGGGGTTGGGTTTGGGGCCTTTAGGGGTTAATAGGGTACCGGTTTTGGGTTTAGGAATTTGGGGGATTGGTTTATGGCATTCGGGGTTTAGGGTTTAGGGTTTTGCCTACGCAGTCTTAAGCCCCAGCCACAGCTGTACCACAAATGTCGACCATGTTCTGCATCGCAAGCCTGCACGTCTCCGGCATCATGTTGCTGGGCCCGGCAATGTGCAGTACCTGCCGATCGACTCAACACATTATTGTAGGCCCAGGTATATTATAATGTTTCAGCTTTATAAAGTATGTCCCGATACTCGAGAATATAGTTCAGTATAACGACTTTACGATCCCATCCATATACTTAGAACAGGGTGATCTGGGGTTTGATAATGTGCACATGGTTTTATTCCGAGACGTATTCTCGGCCCTTACATTACGTGTATATGGGAGGAATGGAGACCACATGGTTACACACGGACCCATGTGTACTGTATACATGCATGTATACATATATATATATATATATATGTGTCCATAAATGTAGGACAAATGACACTATAACCGTTTTGGAGTCCAGACTATAATGTAGACACACCAATAGAGACGACACAATTTTCGTGTAATGTGTCTATATGTTTTTCTCACACCCAGACATATGAACGACACATCTTTTACATGTGTATGCAAATGCGTATATATGTCTATATATATATGTACATGTATACTGCTCCCCAAAATATAATCAATACCATGGAATCCCCAAGCTAACCACTGCTCCAGCCTGCTTCTTCGAACTCAGCCCATCAGTCCGCGAGACCAAACCAACACATGCTCGGCTCCAGTATGGCATCACCTTAATTAACACAAAATTGCAGCAGCTCCGGGTTAGTTAATCCTTGTGTGCGTGTGTGCATGTGCCACCGCATATATATTGCTGTCCAGTCACATAGTAGTCCTTGAAAAGAGGAATGTTGATATGCCATAATCAGCCTTTGTGTACCTACGCTTGGTCGGTCGGGCATCGTCATCCTCTTCATCTTCATCTGCTGCTGGAGCTGCTGTCTCCGTTGCTTTGGCCTTTGCTCGTGGATTTGCTTTCGACTTTGCCGCTGTTGGAGTTTCTTTCTTTTTTCCTGCTGCTGACATATCGGAACCAGCAGCAGGCTCCTCGCTGGCAGCGCTAGCCCTCTTCTTCCCACGGCACCTCCTTCCCAAGCCAGGCTTCTCCCCATTGTCATTGACATCAGCTTGGTCTCCTTCGCCTGTTCCCTTGGCAGGCTCTTCCTCCTGGTCATTGACATCAGCTTGGTCTCCTTTGCCTGTTCCCTTGGCACCCTTGTCATTGACATCAGCTCGGTCTTCTTGGCCTGCCCCCTTTCCCTTTCCCTTTCCCTTTCCCTTTCCCCTGCCCTTTCCTTTCTTCACCTGTTTCTTCTCAGCCTCGCCTTCGGCCTCCACCACCTGTGGTCGTTTCTTGCTTGCACTCTCGGCTGCTGGAGGCTCTGCAACAGCATCCTCGCGATCATGCTCCCGAGGATCCTCCACATTTGGGGCATCTGTCCTTATCGAATGGGGTTGGAAATGCACACAATCACCAACAGAAAGTGCCCCCCACACACACACACAAGTACACCAACACACACACGCACACACACACACACACGATTGTGCAGATTGCAGCCCAGCATCGTTGACTTCGCACCCCGTCCCCTGCCTCGGCCTTTACCCCGCCCTCGGCCAGCATTTGTCTTGGCGATGGCCTGGGCTTTGGCTGCAGCTCGCCTCGGCAACGACATACATGTACATGTGTTTGACACACACACACACGTTACATACACATGTGTGTGTGTATATATATATGTGCATGCTATATCTATATATATATATATATATACATATATACACACATGGACATATAAGCGCACATACATGGATACATACATCATGTACACATTTATCCATATGTGTGTGCACTCTACAAGCCTCACAGCCCAATAACATATGTGCTCATCTACCAGATGACCGACATCCGAACCATAATGTGCTTGGGCCCGGCCTCATCATACTTACAACTTCATATATTTTCCTGTGCAGGGGAGTGACAGTTTGGTTTGAACCTCGGGCAAGTTGGCATAGTCGTCGTCTTTGTCCTGCCTGAGATACCCCTTCTCCTTCAACTCTGCAAGCTTTGTAGCCACATTCCACTGGGGTCGTTCTCGAATAAGCGGCTCGTTCGCTGCCTCCGGAACCATTGTTATATATATATATATGTACATTGATATTGTGCACCGCAGCACTAGACATGACTCAGTTCTAGTGTCCTACATGTATTATATATATATAACCATATTTATATTTGCAAATCACTTTATAAACAGAAGGCCTCGGCTGTGCGAGTGGGCTGGGCATCTGCTGGCCGTACCTCGGGAACTCGCAGCAGTCGAAGTAGAATCGATTTCAACCCCATGTAAAACTCTAGTGTCGAATCGAGTACATAGTATATAATGTAGCCAGGGCACCTCTAGAGTCATGTTTGGGCTGGCTTCTGGGTGTGCATCCGAATCTGGGGTCGTCTCGGGCTTCGGAATCTCGGAGTCCACTGGGGTCTCGGGCTTCGGAATCTCGGAGTCCACTGTGGTCTGGGGCTTCGTGTCCACTGGGGTCTCAGGCTTCGGAATCTCGGAGTCCACTGGGGTCTCGGGCTTCGGGTCCACTGGGGTCTCAGGCTTCGGAATCTGGGACTCCACTGGGGTCTTGAGCTTGGCCTTGGTGGGACAGTCCACGAAGGTCTCGCGCATCACATTGGTCTCAGGCTTCGGAATCTCAGAATCCACCGGGGTCTCGGGCTTTGGAATGTCCACGGGGGTCTTGGGCTTCGCGTTGCTCTCGGGCTCGGGAATCTCAGAGCGAACCGATTCAGGCTTCACATGGATCTCGGGATTCGGAATCTGAAACTCCACAGGGGTCGTCTGGGGCTTTGCATGAATCTCGGGATTCCCAGGAATCGGAGACTCCAACGGGGTCTCGGAAATCGAGTCGCAGCTTGTGGGTAAGGCTTCGGGCTGTGCATTCGAAACCGGGGCCTCGGATCTCTCTGGGATCTCAGGCTTCGGAGCCTTTGTTGAGCAAGAGCGCGATATCCCAAGAAACTTTGGCACCGGAGGCAAAACTTTCTTCGCCAAAGATTCTTGGGCAGTAGACAGCAAATCCGAAGGAATTTGAGTGTCACATGTATCCATGTCCGACCCTGTATCTGCTGGCTCCGCTTCGACCTCGGATTCCTCGGCACCTGAATCCGAAGATGTGCAGCTCGCAGCATCGTCATCCCCACCATCTGCATCTGCAGCAGCCAAAAGCGTCAGGATATCTTTCAATAGCTGCACCTCTTTTGACCTTATTAAGGCTATCAACACACACACACACACACATGCACATGTATGCATTTGCATTGATAAATCATCACATGAATAGATCTCACCAAAACACAATGATCTCTCGGGACTCTTTCTCCAAAGTCTGATTCCATACATAGCCCTGCTTCTCAATGTAGCCGCTTGGATCTCTGTCCAGGCCTGGGCAGATCGAGCAGAACCTCTAATCCGAAACGAATTGGCAAACTCCAAACAACGGCCTGCCTGGATCTCTTTCTTCTTTGACGTGACAGGGAGGACAGCATACTCATCCTGGATCCATTGGAAAGCAGCCTCGAGCACACTGTGATGTTTGGAACCCCTTGCATTTCATCGGTACATCTCACACTGCATATGGGCCGGGTAGCACTGCACAAATGCTGCATGCAAGTAACTCTGTATTTCGTCAGCACCGGCTGCTTTACACCGAAGTTGGCATACAACTCCTTTAGCACCAAAGCTGCGTCTTGCACTGCCTCCTCGGAGACATAATCCACCATCTTCAAGCAGGAATAATCCTGGCATATTTTCATACATACATACGTACATACACTGCACTCGATATAATAAGTCGAGGGTCTTCATCCTTGCGCATCTTGGCAAGCAACGAACGCTTGCCGTCGTCATCTTTGGCAGCGATCCATTCATCCAAGATTCCACAAAGAGTTTCAAACCTGGGAATACAAGGACACATATATCGTGTGTGTAAAGTCGAATTGCACAAAACCACATATACACCACACATGTACATATAGAGATGAGTCGCTGCTCATCACCAGGATTATCATCCGTGGCGACCTCCACGGAGTCATCCCGTGCTTGCCCAGCCATTTCGTGAAACGGGCTGTGCGCACGGCAAAATGCACAAGTGCACACACTAGCTACACTGCTAAGCAAAAGCTTCGAAACACTGGTTGCATGGCATCCACAAATCAAACAGTGTGCTGCCCAGCCAGATCGTGAGTCACTGCTGCATGCACAATAGCTCTGGGGGAGGACGCACCTGCACGGCCATGCTTCCGAAGCTGCTGCCGAATACGCCCGCGTAGCATGCCCGACACATCATCAGGACGAGCACATGATGCACATGCCCACGGGGAATATAATTGAAGTTTACAAGTGCATATTATATATATTCTTTATTATAAAGGGGGCATATATATGTGTATAATACCGGGTCACAGGGAAAAGGCGGTTCCTCTAAAACTGCTACTAGCATCTGCCACCTTAGAACCCTCCAGGTCGATACTACATCACCAACCCTTGTAGGGCGTACAATATATATATATATATATATATATATTACTTCCTGATCACTTGCCGAACATGTTGCGATCTAGCGGCTTGGGACATCATGTTCGCTGCCTCGATAACATGTGCACAGCATGCAACAGACTTTGCATGTCATGAGTGTGCTTATAATTTATGTATGTATGCATGCATGTACATGTAAAAGATCCACAATTTATCCGGATAAACGAATTCATCTCAACACAACCGCGAAAACACACCCCGAAGTGTTTCGGAAAGTATGGGTAAACACACAATGTTGTTAAAACAAGCCATATATTGCTTCATTATGTATCGACAAGTACACATAACAACACGGAAACAACAGCCATATCTAGAAACTCCATAATCCACACTGGCCACGGGGGGGGCTTGGAACTGGTTCCTCCTATTTTGGTTTTTGGGGTCTGGTTACCTTAAATCCGGGTTACCAATCTGGTTACCCGGATTCCGGGTAACCGGAGGCCCTGGGACAGCTCCTTACACACTAGCGCCACGCAAGGCCTCCGCCGCCGCCGCCGGCGATCACAGCTCCCTACACAGCTCCGAACAGGTTTCTACCTCCACGCAAGGCCTCCGCCGCCGCCGCCGCCGCCGCTCACCCGCCGCCGCCGCTCTGAGCCGCCACCGCCGCCGCCGCCGCCGCCGCCGCCGCCGCTGCCGCCGCCGCCGCCAGGCGCTACGCACCCCTTAAGGGATCCCCCACGAAGCCGCCGTGGCGATCCGCAAGTGCAGAGTTCGCAATGGCAACATCACCCCTTAAGGGATCCACGCTGCAAAACCAGTGGTGGGCAGGCGCCTGTGTGGCGAAGTGACCTTGGCCCCAATGAGCGCTGGTGAGCGCCTAGGACGGCCACGGCAGGGTCTAGACCTCGCTTCTGCCGCCGAAATTTTCTACAAAGCTCCGAACAAGTTTGACGCTTGATGCAACGAAGGAGAACAGTGCTACAGCTCCGCCACACGTGGCCAGTGCCGAGCGATCACAGCTCCCTACACAGCTCCGAACAGGGTTAGACCTCGCTTCTGCCGCCGAAATTTTCTACAAAGCTCCGAACAAGTTTGACGCTCAGTGCCGAGCGATCACAGCTCCCTACACAGCTCCGAACAGAGCTATGCCAATGGCTCTCGGAGAGCAAAAGCGAGGCCCTCATCGGCAAGGCAAATTGGAGGTCACGAGCAACCCCAATGGCTCTCGGAGAGCAAAAGCGGGGATCCCCCACGAAGCCGCGGCCCGTGGTGATCCGCAAGTGCACAGCTCCGAACAAGCACCAAGTGCAGAGCAGCACGCTCAAATGGCTCTCGGAGAGCGGCCCAGTGGTGCCCGCCGCCGCCGCTGACCAGGGTAATGGGCGGTCACTTAAGGAGGCTAGAGCTCGGTGTACCGGAAGCCGCCGGGGATCCCCCACGAAGCCGCCGTGGCGATCCGCAAGTGCACAGCTCCGAACAAGCACCAAGTGCAGAGCAGCACGCTCAAATGGCTCTCGGAGAGCGGCCCAGTGGTGCCCGCCGCCGCCGCTGACCAGGGTAATGGGCGGTCACTTAAGGAGGCTAGAGCTCGGTGTACCGGAAGCCGCCGGGGATCCCCCACGAAGCCGCCGTGGCGATCCGCAAGTGCAGAGTTCGCAATGGCAACATAGGGCAATAGCGAGGCCCTCATCCGCCGCTCAGAGACCTGCGCAGGTCTCTGAGCCGCCACCGAGTGCAGAGCAGCACGCTCAAATGGCTCTCGGAGAGCGGCCCAGTGGTGCCCGCCGCCGCCGCTGACCAGGGTAATGGGCGGTCACTTAAGGAGGCTAGAGCTCGGTGTACCGGAAGCCGCCGGGGATCCCCCACGAAGCCGCCGTGGCGATCCGCAAGTGCACAGCTCCGAACAAGCACCAAGTGCAGAGCAGCACGCTCAAATGGCTCTCGGAGAGCGGCCCAGTGGTGCCCGCCGCCGCCGCTGACCAGGGTAATGGGCGGTCACTTAAGGAGGCTAGAGCTCGGTGTACCGGAAGCCGCCGGGGATCCCCCACGAAGCCGCCGTGGCGATCCGCAAGTGCAGAGTTCGCAATGGCAACATAGGGCAATAGCGAGGCCCTCATCGGAGCTCGCTTCTGCCGCCAAGACAAGCTTTAGGGTGTGCAAGTGAAGGAGGTCCCCAAGGGCCCACGGCCGGGAGCGACTCTCGCCACGTCAAGCTTGACGCTCAGTCCTACCGTGAACTGACGTCCTAGTAGGGTCCCAGCAAGGAGCCTGTGGCGAAGGAAAGAGAGGCCGTATAAGGCTCTTGAATACAGAATGCTATTCCTGCCAGTAATCTTGATTTCTCTTATACTTCCTCTTATAATTTATAATATAATTTCCCTTATGATTTCTTTGAATTATTATTAAATAAAGCCGAACTTGTATCTGACGAATTCATTCACTTAAGGAGGCGAGTTTTAGTCTTCTGGTTGATGCAAGTGAATTGCATGGGTGCAAGTGAAAGAGGAAGAGCATCAGGGTCCGCTGGGACCCCATGGTGGGGGTGGGTGCAAGGATCCTGGTTCCGGAGAACGATCACAGCTTTTGTAGACAGCTCCTGGCTCTGGGCTGTGAGGACGGCCAGACGAGGGTCTGGCTCTGGAGAGCGGCGAACAAGCACCGTTGCAGCGGCCCAGCTGACCATGGGCTGTGAGGACGGCCAGACCAGGGTCCAACCCCGAGGCTGCACCCTGGGCCCTGCCGTCCTAGGGTCCCAGCCCAAGGAGCCTGGGTCCTGTGCAGGCTGCTCCCCCTTGGGCCCCACAGCCCCCAGACCCCCGTCCTGGCACGAGCAACCCCGAGGCTCCAGGCCCAGTCCTAGGCCGGCCCTTGATGGCCATGGAAAGGAAAGAGAGGCCGTATAAGGCTCTTGAATACAGAATGCTATTCCTGCCAGTAATCTTGATTTCTCTTATACTTCCTCTTATAATTTATAATATAATTTCCCTTATGATTTCTTTGAATTATTATTAAATAAAGCCGAACTTGTATCTGACGAATTCATTCACTTAAGGAGGCGAGTTTTAGTCTTCTGGTTGATGCAAGTGAATTGCATGGGTGCAAGTGAAAGAGGAAGAGCATCAGGGTCCGCTGGGACCCCATGGTGGGGGTGGGTGCAAGGATCCTGGTTCCGGAGAACAGTGCTACAGCTCCGCCACACGTGGCCAGTGCCGAGCGATCACAGCTCCCTACACAGCTCCGAACAGAGCTATGCCAATGGCTCTCGGAGAGCAAAAGCGAGGCCCTCATCGGCAAGGCAAATTGGAGGTCACGAGCAACCCCAATGGCTCTCGGAGAGCAAATTAAGGGATCCCCCACGAAGCCGCCGTGGCGATCCGCAAGTGCAGAGTCCGCAATGGCAACATAGGGCAATAGCGAGGCCCTCATCGGAGCTCGCTTCTGCCGCCAAGACAAGCTTTAAGTAAATTGCAGCTCCCTACACAGCTCCGACCAAGCACCCAACCCAAGCTTTAAGTAAATCGGAGGTCACGAGCAACTAACCTGGCCGTGCGGAACGATTTTTGACGCAGGCAGACGAGGACGTCCTAGTCGGGCAGCGGTCCGCTCCGCCGCCGCCGCCGCCCACGCAAGGCCTCCGCCGCCGCCGCCGGCGATCACAGCTCCCTACACAGCTCCGAACAGGTTTCTACCGCCACGCAAGGCCTCCGCCGCCGCCGCCGCCGCCGCTCAGCCGCCGCCGCCGCTCTGAGCCGCCACCGCCGCCGCCGCCGCCGCCGCCGCAGCCGCCGCCGCCGCCGCCGGCGATCACAGCTCCCTACACAGCTCCGAACAGGGTTTACGCAAGGCCGCCGCCGCCGCCGCCGCTGCCGCCGCCGCCGCCGCTGCCGCCGCCCCGTTTACGCAAGGCCGCCGCCGCCGCCGCTGCCGCCGCCGCCGCCGCTGCCGCCGCCGCCGCCGCTGCCGCCGCCCCCGCCGCCGCCGCCGGCGATCACAGCTCCCTACACACTAGCGCCACGCAAGGCCTCCGCCGCCGCCGCCGGCGATCACAGCTCCCTATACACAGCTCCGAACAGGTTTCTACCGCCACGCAAGGCCTCCGCCGCCGCCGCCGCCGCCGCTCAGCCGCCGCCGCCGCTCTGAGCCGCCACCGCCGCCGCCGCCGCCGCCGCCGCCGCTGCCGCCGCCGCCGCCAGGCGCTACGCACCCCTTAAGGGATCCCCCACGAAGCCGCCGTGGCGATCCG